TATTGAAAATATATTCTTTCTAATAGCCTTTAAAATTTGCATGCATTGTTTAGGTGTACAATTGTATTATCTGCCAATAATGATAAATTTGCTTCTTCTAATCCAATCCCTGTACCTCTTATTTTTTGCTTCCTGTCTTATTACATGTAAATTATTTTACCACTATTTAGGGATGATTAAAATAGTATTGCCTTTTTGATACACTATGGTAAGGATGACTTTGAGAATGTAGCAACTAAAAGGCCAAGAAATAGCTAAAAATATGTCACAATAATTTGTAGGTGATGTGACAATGCCTGGACAAAGACAATGGGTAAAAAAGCATACAGAAAAAAATATCAGTGAGCAATATTTCAACTGAATAAATGAATGAACACAATGGAATGCAAGAATCAAAACCTGACTGTAGGGCTTCAAGTATGAAATGACATGAGGAAATTATCATTTGTATCAATCAGGATTCAGTTAGGAAACTAAAAATCACTCTAGGTAAGGATTGAAGATGAAAAATCAAAACCTTAAAACACCATTGAAAGAACTGTAGGCAATCTATACATAGGATCAAATTGCATTGACCTATACAACACACAAATGAATCCATGCAAAACTAGTGAAATCTGAATATGTTATACAATCTAGTTAATACTGTTGTACTGATGCCAACTTCTAGTTTTGATATATTACAGTGATAAAAGATGTCACTATTGAGAGAAGCTAGTTTTTGTTTTATTTGGTTTTTACACAACTTTTTTTTTTTTTTGCAAACTTCTGTGAGTCTATAATTATTTCTAAATTAAGAAAAGGAGGCTGTGGAACCAACAAATGGAGAAAAGACCATGCTGTTTTTCTGAATACCCAGAAGTGCAGGATTGCTAGGAAACCACACTAGAGTATGTGATTCCAGGATCTCCACCCAGAAGCTCCTACAAACCTTGCATCAGTTGACTGTCCTCACTCTGACTGCAACCACCACCAAGGGATGTCCCCTCATTCACTTCTGCCTTTTACATGCCTGTGGATGCTCTCATTGGCTGACTCTAACTAGGGAAACTGACTGCAAAAGTTTGGGGAAAATCTAGTTTCAGGCTTCTAGTCCCTTACCTATAGGGGAGAGTAGAAAGGTCCAGGGATAATGCTGAGTTAAAAACTTATATCCCAGCTCATTGATATTTAATAAATACTATACATTTATCATATAGTCTTTGAAAAGGGGATTAGAAGAAGGAAATTGGTCAAATTTTTCAGTTTGTAAATAAAAAATTCATAAATAATTTCATTTCCCATCATAGTTTCTCATTCTCTCTGCCAAGCCATCTTCATCCAAAAGAATTTATAATAAGCAAAAATTTTTAAGATTTTTCCAGCTTATAAAACAATTTCACATGAACTCTTTCATTGGCCTACCAAACAAAGCTGAGAAACAGATAATAATGAAAACACATAATACTTACCTAGAACTTTCACTTATGTTATCACATTTCCTTGCAACCCACCAACAAAAGTGTGTTCTTTGTAGTTCTCTATACACAACACCTTATCTTTCCATGTCCTTGTACATGTGGTTTCTTTAGCTGAGAATGTCTTTCCTGGTGCAAATTCCTCCTGGTAAGCCCCATACCTCCTCACACCCTGTTCATCAGGATCTTGCTTCATCTCTCCCTGAAAGAGACCGAGGCTAATGGAACATGAACAGGCAGCCTCACTGTGCAGAGGGCCAGGCTGTTCTGCCCTTGCAGGAGTCCAGGGGTTGACCAGCAGGTCAACAGGTATGACCCAAGATCCATTCCTCAGCTACTTCTCCTTACTCCAAGAACCTCACTCTTGATGAGCCAAATCTAGTTTTCCCATGCAAAACAGCAAGGAGAAAAATTAATTTGATAGTACACAGAGGGCTTAATAAGAGTCCACCATTAGACTGTGGTTTCCAACATAGGTTTGCCAGTCATAACACTACTGTAAATGGGTCTTGTAGCTCCTCTTTACTACTATTTATTTTCCCTGATTCACCGATTCCTACTCCTCCCTTCCTTCCCTGTAGGTTCTCATGTTAGTGGTCTAATGGCTAGAGATGCTTCAGTGAGCCAAACAGCCTTGCCCATAGTGAACTTACAAACCAGTGAGGAAGACAAACATTCAATTATCTTAGGAATAATATAACTATTGAAACAACTACAGCTATGAAGCAACATTTTATAAAGTTTTACAAAAGGAAAAAAATTATGAAGGGGAAGGATAGGATAGTATAAGGGAAAGCTAGGGCAGGTGAGGGGCAGGTCAAAGAAAGCTTCCCTGAGGTAAGAATGCCAGTTGAGTTCAAACTGATGAGAGGGATTTATCCACATAGAAGAGGCTGGGAGGAAAGCAGGAAGAGAACAAGAACATTCTGGGCAGACTCCCCACAGTTGTCAGCCTGAACTCGGGGGGGCCCTGAGGGAAACCACAGAGCTCCCCAGCCCTCCCTCCCCTTCTCACCATGCACTGGGTAACACTGCCCTGATATGAGGTAGCTGAGCTCAGAGTTAGCAGGAAGGGAATGTAAAGGTTTATGGCTCAGAATCCAGCAGAGAAGAGGAGGCGGTGGAAGCAGACTGTGTCATGGAAAGAACATGGTGCTGATCATCACAGTTTACATATGGACACCACCACTTATTAACTTTGTGACTTTGAAAAGCCTCTCAGAGTTGTTACGAGGATTCAGTGAGAAAAGAAATGAGTAGGGCCTTAGACCCAGTGAGTGTTCAATGAGGTTAGCTTTATCTGCTTACTTTCTACAGGTTTGCTCTGGACTGAATTGTGTCCCCTCAAAGTTCATAGGTTGAAACCTTGACTTATGGAGCAATGTGACTGTAGCTGCAGATAGAGTCTTTGGGAGGTAACTGAGGATAAATGAAGTTATAGGGATGGGGCCCTGCTCCAAATGGACTGTGGCCTTATGAGAAGAGGGAGAGAGGTGTCTGGGTGGCTCTGTTGGTTAAGTTTCAGTTCAGGTCACGATCTCATGGGTCATGGGATCAAGCCCCAAGTTGGGCTCCATGCTCAGCAGAGAGTGTCCTTGAAGATTCTCTCCCTCTACCCCCCCCCAAATAAATAAATAAATCTTTGAAGAAAAAAAAAAGAAGAGGGAGAGAGGGAGAGATGGAGTGTGAGGCTGACATGGACACTTGTGGGGGCTTCACCCTGCAAAACAAAATGGTCATCGGGTTTATGCCTACATAATTCAAATTTAAGGTTCCCTTCATTTTGATATACTGCAGGAGAGAGGAGATCTCTCTTTCCCTCTCCCTCCATCATGTGGGGACACAGTTAGAGGCAGCCGTCCACAAGCCAGGGTAAAGGCTCTCACCAGAACCTGACCACACTGGCATCCCAATCTCAGACTTCCAGCCTCCAGAACTGAGAAAATTAATTTCTGTTGCTTAAACTACAGTCTATGATAGTTTGTTATGGTGGCCCAAGCCAGCTACGGTAAAGCCCAGTTAGAAAACTGCTCTTACAGATGATGGAGTGCAAATCTTAACTGCAAGGACATCCAAAGAATGAATTTATGAAAAAGCAAAGGAAGAGAATGGAATAACTGAATAGGACCACGGCCTGAGCATTTTCATAAATGAGGCTGATCTCGATCCATCCACTGTCTGGCTGGGACTACTTCTGGGATGCACACAGCCTCGCCTGGGTCAAAACTCTACAGATGATTTTCTGTGTAGTTGAGCAAAATGCTTTCTCCTTGTTTTCATTCTTCCTGTTGCATGAGAGATGGGAGGACACTTAAGCTCTAAGAAAGAAGACCAGTAGTGGCCAACAAGGGAATCCAAGTGCCAAGAGATGGCATGACAGGGGAAGAAAAGCGAAATATACTGCTTAAAAGGAGAAGGGAAAAAAGTCCAAGACCCAGGATCCCTTGCACCAAGGGGTACAAGCCAATGCCACGGATGAAATGGGAAGAGGTGGTGGCACCGTCCCATCAACAGTGTTTTCTATGTGAAATGCTATGCCGGATGCTGGAAAATACTACTTCACAATTTTAAAGCCTGTAAAGGTTGATAAGCACTATCTCCATAAATACTCCATTTGATCTCACCACAGCAAAATGAGGCAAGCACAGTAGGAGAGGGATTATGTCCCCAGGGAGGAAACTGTGGTTTGGAATGCTTCATTGGAGTTCCCTTGGCTAGCAAGTGTTAAAGGCAGTAGCCAAACCTCCATTTTCTGATTCCAGACCCAGTGTCCTTTCTGTGGCAAATGTCAAGACATGTTCTATACCTTTGCATCTGATCTTGACCTGGTTTTCCAAGGTCAAAATTTGTCTTCATGTCCTATCTCATTCCTTGACCAACAGTCTCCTCCCCCCAAAAGTCACGGGATGGCTTCTTCCAGAACACAAAATAACATTGAATGGACTACGAGAACAGAAGGAAGAGAAGAAACATGTAGATGGGGACATACTGCCAAATTCCCACACGCGGTATAATGACTTTCCCCCTTGACGAGACTCTCCTACAGCGATCCTCATTCTTTGAGGCCACGCAAGGATAACTGCTATTTTGATTCCCACTTTACACCTGTGAGAAACTGAGACTCAGAAATATGAAGGACCTTGTCCATGACGTGCATTCCAAAGATCAAGAGCCAGATGCCAAACATCTGTGTCCGCCTCCACCTCCCTATGGGGGACAGAGCTCTGGCATGACGGCCAGGAAGCTCTTGGATTCCAATCCTTCCACTCACTTCTCATGTGCTCCTGGTCGAGCCTTGTAAACCCTGGGTTTCCTTTCCTTCCACTGTAAACTGAAGGGGCTGAACTGCATGGTCTCGAGAACGTTCTCTAAAGTGGCTGGTAAGAAAGCAATCATAAATATTGGAACACATATTGTCCAGACTCTTTGTGCTGTTTCCCAAATATGATTCAGGGAGTGAGCCAACAGATAGAGGAGGATATTTATTTTCGCTGGTGAGGTCGACGGATACTTCTTTTGAGCTCGATCACACAGAAGGTCTTTTTGCAGGCCACAGCGTCATTGCACGTCATGGGCCCTGCCTGTGTGCTCCCTCTCTCCCCGCCACTGCTCGAAGCCTGGGAGAACGCTTTTGAAACCAATCAGGAAACTACTCATCAATCTGAAGCCCCACAGAGTTATGAGTGCTCCTTGCTGCCAAAGGGAAGGGGATTTCGAGTGAAAGCTCCACATCTGTGTGCAGTAGAATTCAAAGACTCCAGCTGTTGGAAGGTCTTGCGAGCAATGTAAGTAAACAGCCCTCTCTCCCGATCGAAGTGAACTTCTTCAGGCTTTTTTTCTCCCACAGATGAGTCTTTTGGCTCACGCTGGTGTTGAGCTGTTCTCTCTCTGTTCATCTATGAGGTTTGGGGGTGTTTACTGACTGGGGCTTACTCAATGAACCATCTCCTCTGGGGGATGCTTCTGCTGAACAGAGGAGAGAAAGCGAAAGTCGTCAGAATCGGCTTTGCTTGGGAAGGGTTAGTTTTGAAAAAAGCCCTTGACTTGGCAGTTCTGCTCCTTAATGGCTATAGATCCATAGTCAAGAGGAGTGTGAGGCTGACATGAACACTTATGGGGGCTTCACCCTGCAAAACAAAATTGTCATCGGTTCTGTGCCTCCATAATTCAAATTTAAGGTGTTCCCTTCATTTTGATATACCGCAGGATTTTAATGGAAGAGAAAGGGAAACATAAGCTAATACTGTCCGGTGGAGATTTCCTTGCAGTGGTGTAAATCTTGTGCTCAATTTAGTTTCAGTCGGGGGTGCTGATTTATTAATTGCTCATTTTATTAAACAAATGGGCTCTACATTTTACACTGCTGTCAGGAGGAGAATGCATTCATTGCAACACATGAGCGTAAACATCTAGGCTGTTTTGGTAAAACTTTGGGTTTGTATTAATAGTAATTACATGAGGGGATTGCATAATTTCATACACAACGCACTGTACTAGAGTATATTGCTTTTAAAGATATTTTAAATCAGATGTGGTTAAGGACTGAAAGGATTGCAGGGATATAGCTAATGTAAAGGAAATAGCTCTGTTTTGATCAACCTTTGTTCTCTGAGACCCTACAGCTTCACCAGGAACTTGAGTGTCCTTTTCCAAGGGTCCCTCATCAAGAACCCTAAGGTTGCAGGGAACTGGTGTCCCAAGATCTCAGACTCTGCCCCACCATCAGACTATGCATCTCGCAATATGTCTTGATTCTAGTTTGAATAATAAAGGCTCACATCCTCATCTTGGTTCTACTCCCTGGAAAGCTCCCCTAAGCACAAGAACAACTGCTCTTAACTCTGGTTGATATCTGACTTCCTTTCTTCCCTTTGAACAATTTTCGTTCACAGTTTGATTGGTCTTGTTCCCAATACGTTAGTTATTTACCTCCTCTGTGCCTCGGCGTCAGCACAAGTGTAAGGCACGTCAGAGGGTCAGGAGGCTCCTCATGGTCAGAGGGTCAGGAGGCTCCGCGTGGAAAGGGATTTCAGCTACTAGGAATTTATAACAGCTTATTTCCTATGTAGACACCCCCCACCCCCACCCCAGCCCAGAACAACTTTTAGTCTGAGGTGATCTCTAACCTCTCGTCTTTACTTAATATACGTTATATATCTAATGTGCTGAAAGCAATAAAAACAAAAGGTGAGATGATGCTCCCCTTCTAGAATTAACATGTTTGTACTCTGTGCAGACCAAGCCGTCTTATGTTTTCATGACAATAATTAAGTAAGTCTGGGCACTGGCTGTTGGACATGTGGGGTGCAATGGATCATAAAATATGGGATACACGCTTGGAATGTGAAAGGAAATCATCCAAATATTGGGAAACATGTACTGAGCGTTCACCATGCACTTGGCCGTCTGCTCACCCTGTCTCGTGTGATCTTTGGAGCAGCAACTCACTGGTGAGGAGTAGCGGCTCTGCAACCACAGCACATGAGGACACGTCCCCGAGTGGCCCGTGTGTGGTCACTTAATACCTCTGCGCCTCGGTTTCCTGGCTATCAAATAACGGTAAAACCCCGGGGGCTTGTGTGAAGGTTGAGAGTTAACGTAAGCAAAGTATTGTTTCTGTCTCTCTTGCAGAAGAACCTGAGGTTAGAGATGGCTAAGTAACTCCCCCTCGGCCACACAGGTGATGGCTGGCAGGGCTGGGATTTGAGAGTAAATGATCTGACTGCATCATACTGGAGAAAGACCTCATTTTTACCAGCTTCCCTCATACTGTTGGGTTCTTTTGTATGCATCCTTATCCAGCCCTCACAGTGCCTTCTGAGTGGAAGTGACTGACCATTGCCCACGAAGATTTCAGACAGGGAAACAAGCTCAAGACTTGAGGCAACTCGCCCTTGGTCACACACTTAGAAATCAGCAGGGCTGGGAGCTAAGTGCAGGCTTTGGAATTCCCAGGCCTGTGGTCTTTTCAGGACCCCATGCTCTTGATGCGGGGGAGGGGGGCGCACGACTGTCAGACCCATACTGCCCCCACTGCAGGGGAGAGTGAGCTAGTGGAGGACGACCATGCTTGACATCAGTGAGGCCCTCACCTGCCTCACCCGGTTCCTCATTAATTAAAGCAGATGCCGGGGCCCCTTTGTCAGTAGTTTTCCAGAGGATCGGATGTGCATCAAAGTTTGACAATCACCCTCCTCAGACTGTTCTGTAATCTGGCAAAGAATAAAGATTGCCATGTCCACCTGAAGAAGGTTAAACAATTCTGTTAAGTAGAAGAGATGGGGCATTTTCCTCATTCAAATTTTTTGATTACCCTGTGGTCAGAATCAACCTCATTTCAGAATTGTTTACTGTCTTATTTATATCCCCGTGCTTTCTTCCTCCTTCTGTGTACATCACCTTCCAAGCCCTGTGACCATCCGAAATTTGTGTCATCAACCCCTTTGACTGCACCAGCAGATTTCCTTCCCTTTGTTGGCTTTTTATTATAAATCAGTACCGCTCAGTGGAATTCATCACCATATTAGAATAAAGCGAGCTATATGTGTAACATGAGAAATTTACTCAAGAAACTTTACACAGAGAAACTGGTGACTTGGAGCATTTACTGTGCTGAATAAAATATAATGAGATCGCTTTCTCTGCAGACTACTACAGCACAGATAGAGATAAGCCAAACGTGTTCTCAAAACATGTGCTGGGAAGTTCAGCTGCCTCAGAATGAGGTCACAGAGGGTGTGGTGGAACCGGAACCCCTGAACGCTGGAAATAATTTCCGGTGGTGGCAAATGTCAGGAGTTGAAGGAAAATAGCCATGGTTTTGAATTCTGGCTTGATCACTTTCTAACCATAAGACTCCACGTATGTCACTCACCTCTCAAATGCATATAACAGACATAAAAAACCCAGCATGGCACCTAGCATAATGGGTGCCCAACCAACAGGGGTTCCTTTTCTCCTTAGCTCTGGTCCGTTCAATCCACAAATATTTACTGAGCACCTCCTATGTGCCTTGCATTATTCTAGATATAGCTGTGAACAAGAGCCCGAGTGTCTTCCTTCATACCTCTGGAGGGGGCGACAATAGAATCATAAGCCAAGATGTAACCTCTGAGACTGGGTAGTGCTATAGAGAAAATACAATACGGTAATGAGACAGAGTGACCAGCAGTAAATCCTTGGGGCTTTTTGGAGACCAGAACGTCTGTTCTGTCATTTTCTTTCCTCATCTCAGCATCAAATGCCAGGAGTAATTATATGAAAAGAAGGAGAGAAAAGTCTCTGAACCAAACCGTACTGCAGTTATTTCTTTCATTTCATCTTCTGGGTTTTTTTCAAGATGTTTTTCCTCATCAAAGATAAATCAGTAGGTCCTAAGTGCATGAAGATTAATTAATGATTCTTCTTAAAAAGTTCAAATCATCACAATTCCTAGGGATTACATTGTTGGAAAGGAGAAGAACCACCGCATGGCAAATTTTTAGGGATGAACTGTGCAGCTTCACAATGACTTCATGTGTGGCTTCGAGTCTGAAATTGTACATATGTTAGTGCAGCCAACACACGAAGCTGCCAGAAGTTGGCTGATCCAACGCTCTATTTGCCAAGAGTCATGTGTATGGCTTTGAAAAACAATCCATGGTCTGAAATGTTTCCTTTCTTAAAATGGTGCAGCAAACCTCACTTGGGTCTGAAACAGCATCTCTCCATAGCGAAGGTCACAGTGTAGATAATTTGTACCAGAGGAGTCTTTGTCTTTCAATCAGCCCACTATTTGTGGCCAGAATATTCTTGGCTGTAACAATCCAGATGACTGTCTCATTACTCCATTAGGCCTTTATCACCATCGTGTAAACCCCAATTATGGATCCACGACTTAGAACGAAAATTTTGTGTACACGGCAACACAAAATGCACAGGTCAGTGTTTTCAATTTTCCAATACAGTACTGGTATTTTTCTGTTTAATTTAGAAAAATGTGGTCTCTCCAAATTGCAAACACATTTCTAGAAATTGTTTTGAAAACAAGCTCCCAAGTTAAAACGCAAGGACTGAAAAATAAGAGCAAAGAGGATGAGATTAGGACATTGAAGTTAATTAACCGGTAGTAGAGAGGGTTGTGGGGCAATTCAGTGATGCTCCTTGGGGCTCCAAAGCAATCTCACCCAAAGAATGGTGGTGAGCTGCTGTCCCGAGGGGAAAGAAGGAGAAGGGAGCTTCTGTTGTGCATGCACTTTTATGACAGATACCACTCCAAGCATTTTAAGTATATGAGGTCTTCATCACGACCCTAGTGTGGCTATGATTTGCTTGTTCTACAGATGAGGAGCTGAAGCTTGGTGCAGTTAAGTAACAAGGAAGTTCAGCACCAGCTAGGAAGTGGCAGGACAACCTGAATCCAGGACTGCCCTGCTGCACATCCCACTCTACCACTGTGCTGGAGAAAGATAAAAGGTTTTCCCACCAACCCCTCCTACACACATGCAATACACATTTAAGTAAGGAAAGAATGTACTACAAGTTTTTAAATGTTGAAATGGCCTCCTGAGGGAAGAGGCTGAGGAATTGTCTTCTTTGGAGGTCTATTAAACCCAGACTGGTTATCATACATGTCTGGTATGATTTCATTGTGGTCCTTCCCCAAGGTGAAAAGATAGACAAAATGATTTCTCAAGGTCCTTTCTAGTTTTTCCAACCAAAGGCCAAGTCTACATCCATACAAGGCAAAATGGTGGTGACAAGACAAGTCTGGTCATCCTGCTCTCCCTCCCCGACTCCATGCCGAGTGCTTTGGCTGGAGTGATGTCCAGACTTTGTGGAAGTACCACAGTCACTCGGATCACAGACTTGGCTGGCCATTTCCCCACAACCAGGGAGGGGACCCAACTCTTCCAGTTTGTGTCCAACCAAAGGAAAACCATTCCAGTGAATCTATTATCTAACTTGATGGTTATACTTCCAATGTTTCAGAACTACAAATCGGGACCAAACTGGCATAAAAAATTGAACATAGAAAATAAGAATGTCTTCTACAATTCTGGCTACCACGTGTATCACTTAGGATTGCATTTATCTGTGAGTATCAGAAAATCTAGTTCCTTTCACATGTAAGGCGTTTATTTTTCTCACACAACGAAAAGTCGAGAGGTAGATGATCCAAGGATGATGTAGCTATTTCAAGATGTCACCAGGAAACCAGGCTCCTTCTATCTTCTTGCTTCACTTGTGTTGGTTAGCATGTGGCTTTCGTCCTCATGGTGGCATGAGGTGTTGAGGCCTCATGGTGGCCCCTCCAGGTGTTGAGTTCATATTCCAGGCAGGAAGGCAAAAGCTTTCTTGTAAAACTTTGCATTTTTATTTGGAAAAGGAAACCCTCTTCCAGGACTTTCCATGTACATGGGCACCCCTTGCTGCAAGGAGATCTAGAAGTTTGTGTATAGAAAAAGGCAGGGGGAAAGTAGATAGGGGTGGGTTTTGAGAGAGTCAAGCCTACAGTACTCGTCAAAATTGTCCACAAATTCCTATTTCTGAAAGCCACGAATTTGGAATTTGGAATTTGATACATAAATAAATATTACATAAACATTTGTTAGTTCCATCTATTTTGATACTTAACTTTGAGCATGAAAATATTTTTGAAACAAGTGGTAAGGGGCAGGTAGGGAAAGGATTCTACTCAAAGTACCACAGAGTAGGGGGAAGAAATGGATCCGAGTGTCAGATCAAGGTCTGAATTCTAGTTCATACCTAATTAGGTATGGGATGTCTGTGGGCCTTCATATTTATTTACATTTAAAATAGGGGTAATCCAGGCACCTCGGTGGCTCAATCCATTACATGTAAAATAGCTCAGGTCATGATCTCAGAGTTGTGAGGTCAAGCCCTAATTCGGGCTCCCCGTTCAGCAGGAAGTCTGCTTTAGCAACCCATAAAATTACTTTAGAATTAAATAAGATATGTAAGCTTATAAATAATATACCATATAAAGAGTCTGGCACTTAGTAGACATTCAAGAAATGATAGTTTTGCGTTGCACCTTTTATCCAGCAAGTGTGTAAACTTTATGAGCTAACAGTTGAAAAATCAGCTCTTTGATTACAAGAAATGAGAACAAATCCACTGAACGGTGTGTAGCTTTGCTCTATCAGTGCGCGCCAAGATTCTTTCATTTTGGGTTTCATCACATTATCTTAGCAAACCAGACAAAAATGTCCAAGTGATTTTGTTTTCCAAACTGCATCATACACTTCAAAGTGCCATCTGCTTGTGACTTGTTACAAAACAACAGAGCCATTTGGTGACATTTTAAAAAGTGACCAGTGTTTGTTACCAAGGAACATAATTCCTAGAATTTGTGCAATTTGTTCTGTGCTGTTGAGATGTGAAGTAAAGCCTGCACAGAAACTCTCAGCTGTTTCAATACATTATCCTCATTTTAATCCCCGAATCCAAGTCTTAAATTGCATTTCTTTCCATTTTAATTATCTCCCCATGTCACCCCAACCTTTCCAGTCAAAGGTGGATATTTAAAGCTTATCACCTCATAGTCACCACTGCAAAATTAAAAAGAGAAAATGAAACAAACCAAAAAGAGTTCACAGCTTTGCCAAGTCAAAATCCACCCATCAGCCAAAATCTCATGTCCGCGCTATGATCAGGTGGATAAAAATGATAGAACATAACTCAAAGTCATTGGCTTTTGTTCACATATGAGTGAACTTTTTAAAGTCATCTTTAGCAAGCCATTTAACTTTATTCTCCCCATCCTTACCTGGAAAAATTAATGAACATCCCTGCCCCTCCCATCTCACTTGGTTGATAAGAAAACCATTGAGATAATGTGCTAGATGTGCCATTCAAAATAACACATGATATACTCAAGCGTGTTTCAGCATTTCCTGTCTATTGTAGTACAATTTGTACCATATCGTAGTGCCTAATGAATTACATAACCTTCTCAGGTTCCCCTCTGATTTCTCACCTTATTTTAACCTTTCTTGACAAGAGGCCACTGCTCTTCCGTCACTCTCTCTTCCATACCTCAGTGTGAATGTAGCCAGTTCTTCCTGGCTTCTACCTGATTTCTAGCTGTTCAGACTAAATATCCAGGTCTCTGCAGGCTGACCACCTCTTTTCCTGGCTAGAATGAAGCCAAATTCATTTCACATTCATTAAATGTATGCTTATTTATTGAATCAGAAGTGATCCAAATAGACAAAAATCCCTGCCCTCCTGGAGATTACATTTCAGTCCTCTGGCCTCACCAGTGTAGGCATACTGATGAGGACATCTCAAAGTCAACAATCTGATATCATGCTGTCTGGTCTCACTAAGATCCTTGCCCCAAGTGTTTCTATGCTGTGCTAACATGTGCTCATGAATTCCTGCACAACAGTCACCATGTAAATCATGGTCCAAATCATAGTCCTCTATGCAAATCACAAACCTTGATGGGGTCCAACTTGAGAATGGTAACATTCAAATGATGGATGTAATCTCTTGTTTTCCCAAAGTTGATCATCTTCATGCAGCCAGAGTGGTGCTAAGTTCTGGGTAAAGACGGAGAGAAAGCCACTTTCCCATGGTGAGTCACCTGGCTCCAAAGTAGTTGTGCTTATACCCAGAGATTAAAACCTTTACTGGAAATATCTTCCTGAAAAGTTTCCCTGGAAATATTTCTTTCAACATCTGACATTAACAACTCTCTCCATAAAGACTGAAAACCAGTCACTGGGCAGGAAACAGAAATAATTTATACCCTCTACTGTCCATATATATCCCCCTCCCCATTCAGATATGTGTGCACACATATCCCCACACCTCTTACCTCTCCTTAATGGTCAATATGCTACTTCTAGTTGGCCTTAGTTAGAACACTCTAGAAACCAATGAAATCTGGGCAATCTATCTAAACTGTTGTCCCTTCAAATTAGTAGAGCTTGGAAATAGTTATTTCCATCTACTCCCAAGCACAGAATGGCCAGGCCCAACTGAATGCCTTCAGATAGCAGCTTCTGAAGCACTCTTAGAAACAGCTGATCTGCTTTCTTCACCTTTTATTGGTCCTGCAAGTTGCTTTTAACCCACCCAGTCCATTTTCCTTGGAAGAACAGAGAAGTATGGTAGTTAGAGGTGGGTCAAGGGAGCCAAGTCAAGGTTATTTCAGGATGGAAAAGACTTCAACATTGATACAGACTGAGAGCAATCAGCCAATGCTAGAAGATGAAGATACTAGAGAATGAGAGAAAGTATCTGAGCCAGGTAATCTAAGAGAGGCAAGAGGTAGATCGAAACAACCCCCCAGGGGTGTGTTCGGTTTTGAACAAGCATGGGTCCTGCCTCACGCCAGTGTCAAATGAGACTGGTAGGAAGCAAGTGAAAATGGATGGAAATGTGGGTAAATTAGGGATGATAGAAAAATTGCAGGGATCCTGATCGTGCTCTCTGTTTTTCTCTAGAAGGTTAGAAGTGGGATCATTGCTTATGATACGGACAGTGAGCTGATTAAATGTGTATGGCAAGTACCCAGCCCAGTTCTCATCATAGAGAAAGCACTAGAAAAAAAATTATATTTACTTCTTTTCCCCTTGACAGATTGAAATCTATAGCAAATGTTTATTTCCAAAAGACATCATATAAAAATAGCCACCATGACACCAGCCATATATTTTGCATTTTAAGTGAAACACATGAGCTTTCCTGAAACTTTTATTTTAAACTCTGAACTATAATGACCTCTCTACACTCATCTCAGTTTTGAAAATAACTTGGCTCAAGTGCAGACTGTCAGAGAAGCCCTCTGACCACACATATTCTCTTTCTGTGACCCACAAGCCTAGAGAATGTCCTGGAACCTTGCCAGCAAAGAGGTGTGTAGAGGAAGAAAGCTGAACTCTTGGAGCTTTTGATTTCAGTGCTGTAAAAATGGTTCCAGACATGACAAATGAGAGGGAGATAATCTAAAACATGGATTGTTTCCATGTTTGCCCTTTGAAGATTTTAATAAGCATCAGCTTTCTTGGGCCAAATCAGGTTCTTAGCTTCCAAATCTTTCAGATTTAGACGGTCTTCCTTTGACTACTTGAAATCATAAGGGTTCGTTTGGGGAGGTTTCATGCTCAAACTTGAGGGCAGCTGGCTGACACACCACAGCAGGTAGTGGCCTCTGAGGGGAGAAGAGGTTCTCCTTCTGCTTGCCCTACCACCCTTCGCCCACGACATGAGGGGGAGGAGCATGGATGTGGGTGGACTAGGTCCAGATTCAGCCAGGTTTGAAGGTTCCCAAGAGGAGACTTCTCTTGTATGAACAAGGGTTATGAGTTTGAGATTTCCTGAACACTGGTTTTCTCAATCTCTCTCTCTCTCTCTCGTAAGTACTAGTCTCTTTGACTTGTCTTTTAAGAATTCTGGTCACCCGCAAGATCGGTATAGTCATAGAGAGCCAGGATTAAGTAGTCACAAAGTGCCTGGCACTATTCTAGGCACTTGGGACAGAGCTGATATCAAAACAGCCCAACTTCCTCCTCTAGATGTTACAGTCCACTTGAGGAGTAGACAAACAAAGACAACAAAAGATGTGCCTGTCACGAGGTGATGACGACAATGAAGAGGGAAGTAGGTGAGAGAGAGGCAGGTGTGCTGCTTTAGAAAGGTGGGTCAGGGAAGACTGGGGCCAAATCCAATACTTGAGCAGAGACTGGAAGATAAAGAAGAATGAGTCATGCCAGCCTCTGGGGGAAGAGCATTTTGGGCTGGGGAGTAAAAACATGGAGAGAAGTAATGATTGATGGCCCTTGGTTCATTCCAGAAACAGGAGGATGCCAGGTGGCTGGAATGAAGTGCATGAGGCAGGATGTGAGGTCAGAAGGGAGTGGGGATCAAGCCCATCTAAGGCCTTGCAAGGGCCTTGAGCTTTATCTCAAGGGATACAGGAAGCTATTGCAGGGTTTTGAGCATGAGAGTGACTGACAGGCTCTGATTTAAGTTCTAAAACCAGTCTAAGACTGCTATTTGGGAAACGGACTGTTGGGTGAATGATATCATCCCTGCTCCAGTTCTCAGCAGGCTTGCCAAAC